TAATGGCCAGCTACTGGTTTTCAGAGCACACCTGATTTGTTCAACAGCCACCAGGCCCACCTGTGGTTTATACTGCAACTATGTTGAGCAAACCTTAGTTACAGTTTCTGGAAGAGAGTACATCATCTAGCAAGATCAGCAGTTTGAACAATGCCAGTATGTTCAAATCCTCGGTCACAATGACTTATTTTATGCTAGTACAACCATTGAAGGCTTTCATACAGTTCTATCTACCCAATTTCACTCACAGGTTTATGTCAACCTGTAGTATAGTTTTCAGGTATTTTCCAGATGTTCTACATATCGGGATAACATCTGCAGACTGATAAATCAAGAAATCACCTTTCTGATTAATCGACCATTTACTGCTTTTTTTTTATATGAACAAGGCTATCTTTTTTTTTATAAGAGTTACCATTACAAATTACTATATAAGACTACTTAGGCTTTATTCTACTAACTAAACTTAAAGTTTAGTATGCATTCACTGCTACCTTTGAGTGATGCTGAAAAGAGAAATTATCATGCAACTGCATCTCATGAAAGAATGTCAATGTTTTATTTCTGCTGTGGGCATACTGATACATATTTACAGAATTTACATGGCCTACTATTTGTTCCTACAATTTCCCCTAAAACTAGCACTTAGTGATATTTCCAAACCAGTATAAAGATGAATACAATACAAACTTTTCTGGTGCCTTATTTTATTGCATAGTGTGCACAGTAATTGGCCAATGTTAGAGGTAACTCATAGAAATGCCCAACAAAATTAACAAAGTTTTCAATAAACAATAACAAAAGAAAGAGCAAGACAAAAATAGGCAAAGCAACAGGAATAAGGTAAAAAAAAAAGTTCATCAACTAATAATGGTGTTAACATATAAAAGAGATACAGATAAGTGATCGCAGCAATCTGACTTCAAGACAAGAAAGAAATGAAATATGGGAGATGAGACCAAGAAGTGGCTTATCTTATTGGATAGGAAGAAATCCCAGCATCTATCTGTATGCTCCATCAATTTTTTTTTTTTGGGGGGGGTCATTGCAGTCATCCGAAAAGGATTGGAAGCGGCAATGTATTGAAGAGACTGTTTAGTTTTGTCCATACTACAGAGTATACGATCAAAACTGAAATGATGATGTCATCAAAAATTGCTGTCAGTTTATAGACATTTATTTCCAGTAAATGGCAATTTCCTATTTTCTCAAAATGGGCCAATACACCCAGGAAACAATACAGCAGTGAAAATCTTAATATAATAAAAAGGTATCTAGTGATGTTCAAACTTGCCACAGTTGTAATGGTCTGTAAAGCTCTATGTTCTTTTATTTTTCCTTCTCCTCACTAGACTTTCTTTTTCATTTCCAGGGTGTTAGCACCTGCTAGGGTCCCATCTATGGACAAATAGTGAAATCCCCCCCGCCAAGCAAAAACAAGACACTATTTACATTGCTTGGACTATCATCCTCATGTTTGTTGCCATATTTATCACAACATTTTGGTCATTGTATACTCTGGCCTTCTTCAGGTGGTTGGAATGTCGAACTGAACCCTTTATTTCGCTCGATGGGGTAGACTGTTCTAGTTCCACGTGCCAGGTCTAATGGATGTCAAAGATGAGGATGATAGTCAGAGTAACGTAAATAGTGTACATAATACCTAATCTCAGAAATATAGACAAAAACAAAACAGTATGAAAGTATAAAAATACATTTTTATAGTAAAATTAGCAGCAACAAATTTTTATATAAAAAAAAGTTACCAAGAATACCTATTAATAATAAAATGACCACCAATACAATTTTATAGCAAAATGACTAGCAATACATTTTATCTGTAGTTGAAGGCATACACTTACATTCAAAATATTTAGATTTCAGCATTAAATAACCCATAGAGTTGTTGATATGCCGCTAAACAAGATCAACCAACTCTTTCACTTCTAGAAACCCCTAGTGGCATTATCACATTACTTAAGATGTAATGATTAAAAAGAGAAAATTTCAACTTAGAGAATGCCATCAATATTTTTCTTAGAAATTGCAAAAGAAAAAAAAAAAAGACTTCTACTTTTGTTTTTTTTTAAAGGTTTTAGAAATTGCTATATAAGACTACTTAAGCTTTATTTTGCTAAATAAAATTAAATTTATAAACACATCGATTGCTACCACAGATATTTGAACCGTTACATAATTCCAGCTATGTTGGAAGTATCATTAGAAATTGTTATATAATTAGGATTTGTAGTGATAGCAACAAATAAATTACCAAATAACATGTAAACCTTAATACTAGACAGAGTATGAAACTAAAATAATAAATAATTGATAATAAAAGAAAAATTAGATAAAAATTATAATTCACAATAAATAAAGAAAAAGTGTGATTTTAAAAAAATAGTTAAATAATTATGAAAAATCCCATCATGCACCAGAACAGGTATTTTTGCTGCCAACAGAAACAAAAATCAAGTTTTCTTTCTATTTGTCTTCAATGGTCGAAATGAAGCAGATGTCCATGGACAGTGCTCCCACCAGATAGGCAAAAACTTTTTATCTCTGTATATGTTCTTTAAAATATTCAATTTTTCTCTGAAATATACACAAAAACCTTTTATCATTTTTGCTTATGCTTATTGTATTGTTTCTTGTATAGAATTTGTTTGTAATTTATATATTCCTGTTGTGGGGGTTGATATCTTTTTAACCACTAAACAAAATTAAACATTCAAACAAGGCCAATGTATCATCAGTACCACCCACGACAGATTTATTTTGGTAAATAAAATTAAATTCATTAATCTTTCAAGGCTACCTTAGATATTTTAATCCTTTTGCTGTTTTTAATTACAGTAACTATTAGAAAAAAAAAACTACCATGTTTGATGGTATAAACAATTCCAACCCCTTCTGTATTTAATATTACAATATTATGGATTTAAGTTTGATACAAGTACTGAGTGTCATTCAGGTAAACATTAGTTTATCAGATACCTCAAAGTTACAGAAGATATTTTGTAAACCATATTTTGGAAGGAAAGATGTCTTTAACAAAAAATAAAGAAAATAAAACAACAAAAAACAGCTCTATGAATAAAAATAAGATTGAGAAGATTTTTTTTTTATTTAGAAGAATAAGAAGAAATATGGGTAATTGCTTTAAACAAGGCTATGGACTGGATTCATGCCTATCAAAGGCAATATGCAACATTCCCCAAGAAATGTGTCTCATGTAGTCATGTTAAAATGAGGTTAAAATAAAACTTACCACATCCGTTTGTAATTTAGAGAGTTCTGTTTTGTAACTTCGAACTCTTGTTTGATATTTCTGTCTGTCTTTCCCTGGTTGCTCTTTCACCTCCAGATCCATTTGCTCCAACTAAAGAAAAAAAAAAAAAAAAAAAAAAAATGAGAGTAACTATTATCACTACACAGTGATATTACAGGCAGCATTATTATCACCACACGAACGTAAGTTAAGTGTTCTAAGGGTACTGAAGTTGGATTGGGAGGAAGGGATATCAGGAATTTTGAGTGGGAAAGCATTGAAAAAAAAAAAAAAAAATTTTAGGAGCTTTGTTTCTCACTCAGACAGCTAGTAAAGTAGTTACAGAATTACTGTGTGTTTTGCAAACAATCCGTCTCCAGTCTTCCTGCCACTGCTGTGGAATAAATTCCAGATTATTTTTCTCCTACAAACCAAGGCAACATGGAGGAAAAACACTTAAGTCCACAGTACAGTATTGATAAGACACAGCTTTTATAAAACACATTTTAATTTCAATATGAAATAAATGCATTATGAAGTATCTAAGTTTCCTATAGCGGTAATTGGTAAGTAACTATAAATTATTTTAGATTCTCAGCGGGGGAGGCGGGAATCACTGAAGAGAGATAATAAAGCCACCGTTTTCACTGTGTGGAAACTATAATGAGATCAGTAATATCACTGTCTAGTGATAAGAAAGAAAAAAAAGAGAAAGAAAAAAAGAAAAAAAAAAGAGAAAGAAAAAAAGAGAAAGAAAAAAAAGAGAAAGAAAAAAAAGAAAAAAAAAAAAAAAGAAAAAAAAAAAAAAAAAAAAAAAGAAAAAGAAAAAAGAAAAAAAAAAGAGAAAAAAAAAAGAGAAAGAAAAAAGAAAAGAAAAAAGAGAAAGAAAAAAAGAGAAAGAAAAAGAGAAAGAAAAAAGAAAAGAAAAAAAAAGAAAAAAAAAAAAAGAAAAGAAAAAAAGAGAAAAGAAAAAAAAGAAAAAAAAAAAGAGAAAGAAAAAAAAAGAAAAAAAAAAGAGAAAGAAAAAAAGAGAAAGAAAAAAAAGAGAAAGAAAAAAGAGAAAGAAAAAAAAAAGAGAAAGAAAAAAGAGAAAGAAAAAAAGAGAAAGAAAAAAGAGAAAGAAAAAAGAGAAAGAAAAAAAGAAAGAAAAAGAGAAAAGAAAAAAAAGAAAAAGAAAAAGAGAAAGAAAAAAAAAAAAAAAAGAAAGAAAAAAAAAAGAGAAAGAAAAAAAGAGAAAGAAAAAAAAAAAGAAAAAAAAGAGAAAGAAAAAAGAGAAAGAAAAAAGAGAAAGAAAAAAAAGAGAAAGAAAAAAAAAAGAGAAAGAAAAAAGAGAAAGAAAAAAAGAGAAAGAAAAAAGAAAAGAAAAAAAAAGAAAAAAGAAAAAAAAAAAGAGAAAGAAAAAAAGAGAAAGAAAAAAAGAGAAAGAAAAAAAGAGAAAGAAAAAAAGAGAAAGAAAAAAAGAGAAAGAAAAAAAGAGAAAGAAAAAAAGAGAAAGAAAAAAAGAGAAAGAAAAAAGAGAAAGAAAAAAGAGAAAGAAAAAAGAGAAAGAAAAAAAGAGAAAGAAAAAAAAAGAAAGAAAAAAAAGAAAAAAAAAAGAGAAAGAAAAAAAAGAGAAAGAAAAAAAAAGAAAAGAAAAAAAGAGAAAGAAAAAGAGAAAGAAAAAAAGAAAAAGAAAAAAAAGAGAAAAAAAAAGAGAAAGAAAAAAAAAGAGAAAGAGTGGTGAACAAGCCTACTAACAAATCAACTTATAACTTCAAACTGGACAGGAAAAACATTTTCCTCTACATATATGAAGAATAACATTTACCAATATGAAAAACTTTAAATGTTAAATAAAAATAAATAAAAGGTACATCAATAAGTTAATGAGATGGAATGATGTAACATTTGCTAGTATGGAAAAATGGAATTGTAAAAAAAAAAAAAAAAAAAAAAAAAAGGTTGAATTTACATAAATGCATCAATACTTATTGATGTAAGTATGTAAATTCAATCTTTCAATAATTCAAATATTTATTTTTTAATAAAAATTTCAAATATTTATTTTTTAATAAAAATTTTTGGTCAATTTGCATTTAACCCAAATGCCTCTCCATTAATCATACAAACCAATACAGTAAGAATCACACACTGACTGATTTTTTTTTTATAAGGCTTATTAACTTTTTGTGGGCAGTGCCAGATTTATCATTGTGTTTAGGCTGGCCATGAGGGTCCCTTCTTCCTTCTATGCCTATGTAGGTATTCCGGGCTTACTGCCTTCAGGACCAAAGTAACTTTACTAGCAGAGGGCCTCATTTGTCTTAAATCCAGTGTTGTTTGTGGGTTATATAAAGCCAAAACATATTTTAGATTGTTTACAGTACTTGGTGTTCTAAATCAGCCCCTAATAAAAGTTAGTCCTGGGTATGATGATAAACTACATCTGGCAGCAATGCCGCTGATTGGAGCGTTTGAGAAATGTAGAACCATCTCTTAAATACTGTTGTTCCTAGGTCCACCCTGACCTGGGATGGTAGCACCTGTTAGGGCCCCAGCTGGGAAAATAGTGAACTCCAAACAAAAACAAAACAAAACACTATGAAGGTATAAAAATACATTTTATAGTAAAAATACCAGCAATACATTTTTTTATAAGAAAAATTACCAACAATACATATCTTTAGTAAAATTATTAATACATTTTTAAAGCAAAATGACCCACAATACATTTTACATCAGATATAATAAAATGGCTCACAATACACATTTAAAGAAAAATGACCAAGAATACATTTTATCTGTGGTTGAAAGCATACAATTGCATTCAAAATATATTTAATTGAAGCCATAAAATCGTGTACAAAATACTTAGATTTCTGCATTAAATAACCCATAGAGGTTGATATGCATATGCCACTAAACAAAATCAACGAGACCTAATATAAGTACTAACTAGGCTCAACACAGTTTCAGTAATCAAACAAAAACTGGTGTTTTCAGTTGAGTCATATATAATAAACTACAAATGTTTTAAGTTAAAGTTACAAAGTAGACAAAAATTTACACACATTTGTTACCTTTATTACAATGTTTTATATAAATATTAACAAATACATATATTTCTTATTACTATCAATGTTATTTATACTATTTATATAAAGACTATTGTCCTTATCTTTGTTGTTATCATCACAACATGGCTGTTGTACCCTTCAGTTTTTGTCAACTTACAGAGAATTCCGAACTGAACCCTTTATTTAATCTATGGGAGTAGACTGTTCAGGCAGGTTAGGTTTAAGGCTCCACAGAGAATTGTCCTACAAAACAATAGCCTAGTGGATTAAAGTGTTGGTTTGCAAATTTAGTGACATAGTAATCGGGGTTCAATCCCTGGGCTGAGCAGTGTGCACTTGGAATCAGTGTAAACAGGAGTGAGCAATAACTGAGTAATTAAAAAAAAAAAAAAAAGACGAGATATCCCTCCCTAGACATGTGCTATGGAATAAGAACAGTCTATCCATCTAGGTTAAATAAAAGATTCAGTTCAGAATTTCCTGTAGGTTAACAGAATTGATAAACATCTGATGAAGTCCAAAGGGCACAACATCCGAAACATTATAAGAACAAAAAAGATTAGGTCAATAGTCTGAATGTAAATAGTGTTAACAATGATAACTCCTCATCCCAGAAATTCAGGCAGAAACTATAAATGTATTTCAGTGGGTACATGTGTTTGAGCAGATATCATTGTTTATTTACAAATAGTGAAATTAATATCTACCTGCCTAGATCAAAAAAGTCTTATTAAAAGAAAATAAATGTAACTCCCTATTGATGATCTAGGTCACTAGACATTAATTTCGAGTTTGTAAATAAACAGTGATGTCTGCTTAAACATGTATACCTGCGAAAATAACATGATAAAGAGAAATATATTCAGGTTGAAAAATAATCCATTGTTTCAATACAGGTATGCAATAATATTTATTCATTTATGTAGTTTTTGGTTTAATTTAATTTCTATTAGTTTCTATAATCACAATGTAAATAAATGTGCAGATGCCATAAGGGTTAGTAATTCAGAAAATGGAATCTGTGAACCTGTTCAAATTCTAGCCAAGGCTGTTGCTTTCACCAGAAAATATTTTTTTAGATTGTAGCATTTTTGGAGGGGAGAGGTAATAATGATAGTGAGATAAGTCTTATTAATTAATCCATACCTGGAGGAGAAAAGGAAGATTCATACCTTTCCAAGGGTATTTGTGCATGTGAATATAATGAACTTAGCAGGAATTGGAACTCAGTTCTCTGATAAACAATTCTGAGCCATTATCCATTGCACTACCCACACACCCAAGTTTAGAACACCTGGTATTCCCAAGCAGTCACCTATCTAGTTACTCACCAGGCTTGATTTGGTTAACTTTGGTGATTGTATGAGAATTGGTGTTTCAACATGATGTGGCTACAAGTCAAAACTGCAGTGAAGGCAATGAGGTTACTACTTGACTATCTTTCCCAAGAACAGTCATGGCAATTCATAGATATCAAAAAAGAAAAAAGAAAAAGAAAAGAAAAAAGAAAAAGAAAAGAAAAAAGAAAAAGAAAAGAAAAAAAAAAAAAAAAAAAAAAAAAAAAAAGAAAAAGAAGAAAGGAAACTGTGGCGAACCATGATCACCAATATACTGAAGAAACATGCCGATTACAGAAAAAAAAAATACATGTGTAAATAAAATGTTTTGAAAATACTTGTTTATTAAGTGTGTTTAATATAGTAATGAACTATGGGAACAGGTAAGAAAAATGTGATTTTTCCTTTTAGTAAGACAGAATCATGAAAATAAAAGTAAAAGGAGGAAAAAAACTAGGATATTTTAATGACATTTTATCCAAGAAAATATATGGATGAAACACAGCAGAAAATATGTAAAGCAAAATAAATAAATGCAAACCATAAAATTAAAGATTTAAAAAAATCATTTAAATTTGTTCTTTCATATTTTTACTGCACAGAGAGACAATGTTAAAATTATCAGTCTAATAATACCAGTATTTACTGTTAGCAGAGATCTTGTGAACCTTACTCTAGGCTGTGAGTCACCAAAACTCCAGTTGATGCATTTCCAAGGCTGTATGAATTAGTTTCGTCAGGTGTTAATTTGTAAGGATTACTTGATGCTTTGACTTTACATACTGCATTAAAAAGTAAAATGATTCACAGCAGAAGATAGACAGGAGTTTTATACTAATTCTCTACAATTTAGGATATTTTGTTTATGGAATTATTGTAGTGCCTTAATAAACATTATCAGCAGCAGTCTGGAGGGTATAAAAACAGGCAAACTCTTAAGTAACATTCTCTTCCTGTTTTCCATCCTTTCGAAGTGTGTGCCAACAACTTTTTACACAGAAGCAAAAAGGGCTGTGGACACTTCACTCACAAATACACCAACACAGGTAATTCACACTCAAATACATTCATTAACAATTTTTGGTTGTGTATTCCATTTTATTCTTAGTAAAAGAAACTCTTAAAATTTACTTTTTGTTTAATAAATATTATCTTGTATTGCAAATCAATCGGTCTCTGCTATTTTGTGCATGTATCTTGTTCACCACCATTAATTCATATAAAATATTCTTGTAGAGACCTTATACATTAATTATAGAAGTAACCAACACACTGAACTATTTTTATTTTCAAGAATTCAATGATAGATTTATGAATCATCATGAGACAAAAATGTTCTAACTCCATTAGTTCTATTTCTATAGATGATTCTGTAACCAGAGGTTAAAGAATTGGAAAAATATCCTTTAGGACTTCAATTCATTATTTTATCCAAGAATTCATAAGTGAAAAAGAGTCTGTGGAGAGCCATGATCATCTACACCCTGAAGGAACATAGCACTGAAAACTGTGTAGAAGACACTGAGGAAACTATTTCCCCAAGAAATCATGGCAATTTGCAGATAATATAGATAGGCCTCTTCCAGTCATCAATGACCATGGATTTGATCCCACTCATCTGTAAGGTAGGATCAAGCCTGGGCAGGGTGGTATGCAGGACAAGATGTTGCCCATGCAGCATGTCCCCACTCTCCACATTACTGACAGATCCAAAGGAATTGCAAGGTCATTGCAGCTTAGCACCAGTGTCATTACAGGAGCTGAGAGAACAAGGCTGAACTCCAAATTTTTAGCTGTATATTATGTACTGCATACAGAGTTTCTTGTAGACCAGTTGCCACCCAAGGCTATAGAACCCAGTCTCTCTTACTATTTACCCATAGATGGGGAAAGAAGAAGAGAATTCATTCCTTTCCCAAGGGTATTAGCATGTAAGTGAATGTAATGGATCCAATTGTAATTTCAACTTGGCTCTCCGATTTCCCAGTCAGAGCCACTATCCTTTACTCCACCATGCCCTGTTTCCATAATAATGATAATAATAATAAAGGAGAAAAAAAAAAAAAAAAAAACAGAGTCTGAAGAGACATGATTGGCTGAACCTTGAAGGGACATGATCTTAAAAAAAATAAATAAATAAATAAAATAAAATATATATTTCTTTATTATAAAATAATTATTTTTTACAGTAAAATAATCAAGTTAAAAGGAGAGATTAAAACTTTTGTTATCTTCTGCTTTCATTAATTCAGTTGGTCACAAAGTAATTTCTTCATTTTAACTTAAATATTATCTATCAAAAATTAGATCATTTTTATACATTACTCAGCATTCCT